CTGTCAATAGCAGTCGCTCTCGCAAGTATGAATGGCGGGAAAGGCGGCGGTCGCGGGAGAGACCAGGCAGTCTACAATGACGAATTCCTTTCAATATTTCATAAGGTCTATAGACTCGAGTCACTGTTCTCATCCCGACGGCATCGATCGCTCGTCTACTAAGTGGAATATCTTTGATAAATCAACCAAGTCATAGTCGAAGTTTTCCTGCTTGGCTTGTCGCCGACCAAGATGATTCCTTACTTGTTTTCCACGATGTGACATAATATTATTAACAATATAATTAACAATTTCTATAATTATATATATCTATAGAATTTATTAATGAGAAATATTCGAACATAGTTTCAAGCGTGACTTCGACCTCTTTACTCCAAAATTGTGAGCAGCTGTTACGTTGTTACTGTGATAATATGAGACAGTTTACGAGTGCGTTTATGTGCGTATGTATGTGTGCGTGCGTGAAAGAGAAAGAGAAAGAGAGAAAGAGAGAGAAACATAATATGAAGTTCAGTATCAAGTGCGTATCACGTTACAAGTCACCTGATCTTTCTCGTACCGAGAAATCAAACTCCTTCGATTAGAGAGATTGTGATCATTCGATTCGTCTTATCGAGCGACTAGTGGGAAAAAGGCATGAGAGGGTTAAACAAGACGAACTCCGTTCGTTCAATCATTTCGGGAATCTGTTCGGCAATCGGTGTTTCGCTGATACGAGTATACTTAAATTTTGTCGTATCAAGGGTATTTCGTGTTAACAAGTTAATCTGACTCGTGATAAATTCCGAGTAAACGTCTCATTAGAGTATACGCCCCGTCCGGATCGATCCTATCTTGAAAAAGGGCCGAAGGAGGTGGTCGCCTTAAAATAGATTTTGGGACGCGCGCGTAATCGCGATTGCCGCACTCTCGCGAGGCGTTCGTTCGCGCGTGAGCGCACGAGATGACGAGGGGGAAGTTTTCTGCAAATATTACAAGAAGACTGCGTTGCGCGGTGCGGGAATGCCCACAGCTGTTCCTATAAATAACAACCCCCGATTTGATGCAACCACGCGAGTGCTCGCCGCGGCAATTCTGCATCTTCTCTCGCGAAAGCGCGGCAACTATGGTTATTGACCCCCGTGCAACGTGCACGCGGCCCGGCACTATTTCCGTTCGTGAAATAATGGGTCCGAGCATCGTAACGTGTGATTTAAACGCGCGCAAGATAGACCAAGGAGTCCTCGCGTTGCTCGACGTGTATATCGGTACAATTGCACAACGGAAATTATTTCTTCAATATTATTCGTGTAAAATGACTGAAGAATATTGATTTTCTTACTTGTCTTTCGATGACATCTGTTGTTCTAAATTTCTTATCTTAATCAATTTCATCATTTTCGAAAAAGGTAAAATGTGCATAATTTTATTTTGATAAATTTTTTTTACATACAATTATACGTGTTGATGAAAAAATGGATAAAAACTCTAAATTGGATTAAACTTTCAACATTCGGAAATCGACCGATAAAGTATAAAATGATGCGATTTGACTGTAACGTCGAGCGTAGTAAATGAAAATTACGCGAATGGCGGAATAAGAGCAACGTGCGTTCGCATTAAAACGATGTATTACGATTGAAGATTTGATTATTGCACATGGCACGGGTAATTACGTTCTACCTGACGCACGGGCTTTATTCGCGGCGAGCAAAATGCAATAAAATATATTATACAATGTGAAGCGGGGGATTTATCCGCGGATTACATTATCCATCACGGTCGAAAGATTAAATCTCCATAAATTATTCGTTGTACCAACGATATTCATTAACGACGCGCGGTTCAAATAGCCGCGAAGTGTTACAACGGTAATGTGCGGTAAGCGTTACCGCACGCGCGTATCTCTACCTCGAAATATATTTTTTACGTAAAATTATATTATTGTAACAATTTCTATAAGGACTTTTCAATCGAAATGATTAAACCGCAGCGCAGTGCGGTTAAATAATGAAGGAAGTAAATTTCCTTACATTCAATAAAATTTCGATCATACAGTGGCTGATCCACTTGTTAGAATCCAATATTAAAGATTTATAGTTTCAGGCAGATTGATCGATCGCGCGACAGCAATTTCCTACATATATTGCGATAGCGTATGCCGTAATAACGTTTTTATTGGGTAGAAGATCGCTCAGAATCACTCCGCGCCTTATACCGAGGCGCTTCATCGGGAATTGAGTACCGGCTCTTGTGGATTTTCTACTTGATTTACAGAGCGGCGAGGCGTACGCTGGCGAGAAAGGGAGAGAGAAAGAGAGAGGAAGATAGAAAGAGAAAAAGAGAGAGCAATCGATGATGTCACGCACTTGCGGTTGATAGCCGCAATCTCTCTGCGAGGTGCGCCGGTACGATCGACATCCGAGATTCGGACTTGGTCGCGGCCGAGGCTGCGTTGCATCGCGTTTTATAGCGCGTTTTACTGCGTGTGCTGTGGCTGACCAGTGGTCTCTCTCTCTCTCTCGCAGATCCTCCTCTCGCTTCTCCGGTCTCCTCTCTTTTCTCTGTAAAGGAGGCACGACCAGCGGAGCAGGGTCATGGCCGGACATCGTCTGCCATACTCTCCCTCTCTTTCTTTTGCTCGATGCTCTACACCCACACTACATCTGTTTTACTTGCGTACAATCCATTCTCCTTCTTCTCGCTGCACTCTCGTAAAGTTGGATTTTACTGTGCGCCGAATATGAGCCATCGTGATCTCTCGAGAAACATCTTGTGCGTCTCTCCACGATCAAATAGATTTGTAAAAGACTTTTTTAAATGAAAATCACGAATGTAGAAACATTACCATGCAATTTACGATGGGATGTGTCACGACGTATCTATTTTCTAGAAGCTATTATTACTAGAAGATATTTTCCAGTTGAAAGTATTGATATTGTTAGAATTTCAAAAAATAAAGAAAAATTAATTTATGTCAACAATAACGTAAATATTTATGACATTGTACGAAGGATAAGGTCGATTAAGTATTGATATTGATAGGAGATTGTAATAGCTATATAAGAGTAGCGAAGCGGTTATGGATATATAATAGCTTTAATACCAGAGTGAAGGATTTCAAGTTTGAATCTCGATAGGCTTTGTTATTTAATTTTTCCGTCTCTTACAATATGGAAGTTACTTGAAATTAAATTGTGAAACCTACATTGTAGATTTATTTCATGAACAAAATATGAGAATTTTGCGATCTTTCAATTATCTTTATTTCAAAATTAAGAACACATTTTAGACGCATTTTAATCAAATTAATAAAAATAATAGTACTTGCTGCTTTTTGCTGATGTAACATTTGCTAGAAAGTTACATCACGCGATATTGTTATATTAAAAAAAATGTACACACACGCAGAATATAATATATATATGTATATATTGCGGAGAATGCCAGAGTGGTTTTGCGGCTTTTGTCGCGCTATCACTTTTGACGTCAAAGGCGTACGCTCGAGGCATTGCGCAAAATTGAGAATCAAGGTGTCCAGAACTCGCTCCTTGGACCAAACGAAATGTTTCGACGATGATTCACAGCGGGACAATGACCTCGATTAATGATATCATTTTTGTCAATATGGTGTAATATCGAGAGAAAATCAAAAGTCTCCCAATTTTCGGTAATTAACTTCTTCGAAATAAGGCACTTGAAAAAAATACAACTATTATTTTACTTATCTTACATTTGCAAATATAATTGAATAAATATATAATAATTTAATATAGTTAACTCATTTCAAATTTTACTTATATTTAATAAAGAATAGATTGGGAACACAAGTATTAGTTACTTTTAAGTATAGTATTTTTGATGCTAATTTTACAATAAGAGTGCAACTTAATATCTTCGCAACATACATGACGTTTTCCTTTCTCTTGAAGAGGCTCGTATGAATTATTTGCGACGCGTAAGAAATTAATCATTCTGAACACAAGAATTAAAATGTCACGCGCGGACCTCTCGCGTGTTTCTTGCGCTGAGCCGAATTGTTCCCCATCGCAACCACGTGTTGCACTACAGAATTCTAGCCGAGATGCTATCGACCGACTTTATTCCGCTTACTTATCTCAATCGTCAACGAAACATTTTCAATGATCAGATAATTTTGAGGTTCTAAATAGCATTAGCAATTAACAATAAAGCTAATACTTTGGTTATAAAATCGTAATGATTTGTGAATAAATCAAGGACTTTTTATTCCAATTTTTATAAACTGAGCATTTATTTGAGCACACAATTTTGATTATATAATTTTAATTTCATAATATAAAAAATAATATTCTTAATATATATAATAACAGACTTCTGTCTCATTTCGCTTATTTTTTCGTTCGCTTTTTTGCGTTCGCTTGCTATTTTATAATACGTAAATGTCTAAACAATCTAGTCTAAAAAAGTCGAAAAAAAAAACACATGCTGAGCTTTATTTCAAATAATATCGCATGTTATCATCAATAACGCGACTAACAAATATAAAGGGATGATGTGATTCATCATAATCTTTTATATCACATTATAATCGCCATCATAAATATCAGTAAGTAAATCGTCTTTCACGATTATCATTAGTCTCGTCATTATACTCTCGGTCATTATACTCTTCCAACTATCGTATCGATAAATCTTGTCCATCAATACATTCGAAAAAATTAAATCAATCTAATTTTATTCTCACAGTTGAGAATATCAATATCTTTTTGAACTCTTTTCGAAACTCGCTATCAATTTCAAGATTATCGCAATGACCTATCGATTATCTCCGATCATTTTATTATTAATCTCGGAGCGAGCGCACGCTCGGTCAAAAACATGTTCATACATGGGGCAATCTGTCAATCATTCCTCTATATTTTGTCTATCTTCCGTCTCTTCTCTATCTCTTTCTACCAAAAAGACTAGGTATGGATATCTAGCGTAAATAAAGTTTTCGCTTACATAGAGTACATTATCTAAAAATGCGAACAACTCACGATTTCGCGACGGATGGTGGGCGTTCCTGCTCCGGAGGGCATTGTGCAGGGTTACATACAGCTGATACATCAGCTGCTCTTCCGACGACGTGTTCTCGTCGTTGTTGGGCAAAAACGGTATCGCCATGGTGTCTTCTCTCGTCTATTCTACGATCGGAGCAATTGCGTACAGTTGTAGCCCGAGTCCAAGCTCGTTACCACTCCCGCCTGGCCCGGAGTTGATGCACTGTAACCGAACCAAGCAATGTTCTGTTGTTGAGTTCACTGTTCACTGTCTACGTCTCCACTTTTCAAAGACCCCCCCCTCCCCCTTGTTCGGAGTTTCTACTTGGTCTTGTTTTGTAAGTCGTAGAATTGTGAACGCGTTAGAAATGCTGCACGTGAACAGTTTTAAGTTTACCGGCTCTCAATGCTCAACATCCCGGATCGCACGTGGCGCGCGCGCACGCTGCGGACCCTCCGTAAATGTTATTATTCTACCCTTTCAGACGATTCTCGGAACAAAATTTTTTTCGAAGTTCTGATGAAACTGTCCATGCATCGAACGTTCTCGAAACAAAAAGGGAAAAAAAAAGAAAAAAAAAGAAAGATCACTCTCGCTTTAAGACAATCACCTGCTGAGAACGCGTATGAAACTTGTCCTTCGTCACGGTTGTCGATTGGCTGCTCGAATGCACTGTCAATGGAGCACGTGCGTCAGAATTTTCGTGACTCTGAGAGAAATTTCCGGAGCACGGACGCGTCGTGATCGTCGCGTTCAATGTCCCCGCAGTTGTCCGGTTGACGGCTGCACCAGTTGGTTCACGTCACTCGTAAAGATGTAACACATACAGGGGGGTCGCCCTATGGCTCCGCGGATCACGAGAGTATCTCGCGCGAACGGTCACGTGAGGTGTTCCGGAAAATTTTCGGGATTGCACTATGACCGATCGAGATTAATTCGATAATTGCACGAGCAAATAAAACACCGCTGGCCACTTAGGCGCAATATATCACACGCGTGTATTTGAGCGGTGCGCGTACAACAGGGAGCGGTGAGAAGACGAGAATACGAAGCGACACGAGATCTCGACTGAGCTCAGGATAAACGAGAAACACGTCTGTTCTCCTCGAGGTCTGGTGTGGTAATGATTCTGTGCTTTCACAGCCACGGTCTGCACGTTCTGCCTCACGGCAGCAACCGGCTCTTCCCTCACTCCGTTTTACCCGCGCGACCGATTGGTCGAACGGTGGGGGTGCGTGCGCGCGCAACCTATGACGAGGAAATAAACTGGCGGTGAGGGTAGCCGATTTACTTTGGGGTGGGGAACGCTCGGGGAGCGTGACAATACATTGTCTTGCTCTTCGGACGCTGCGAGTGAGATCCGTTTGAACGCTAACATTTACTGCAATCATGTTTTTGCAATCGTCAGACACCACGGCGTATCCACGTACGAAGAATACTCTAATGTATTAAGATATTGCATCTTTAGACTATGAACGTTTACGTTATCAATAAGAGATATGTGATTAATAACATTATGAAAAAATATTAAATAAAAACAGATTTTTTTTCTTTTATCCTACTTTTTCTATCTCAATCTTAGGTATCAAAAATTTTTCAGCGTAAAATCTATCATATAAAATATTTTATAATATTTCTCTTTATGATTTTCGCTCTCTTGAACATTTTATATATTTTTTTTTTGGCTTTAATTTTTCTACGACTTTTCATGCAGTAAATGTTAATATGAGAGGGACTCGATTCGCGCTTGGAAGACGCAAGTGCAACTCAGTGGTGCGCGCGACACAGTCTCGGGATACAGCGGAGCGTGTAGCATGTAGCAATGGGATCTCGACGAAGGAGAGAGTGAGAGGCCACGCACACGAGCATACGGCGCTCGCATGCACCTCGGAGCCGTAAAGGCGCGTATGACACGACAAAACGACACTCGAGCGCAACTGCGCAGTTTACGCGACCAAGTACGAGCTCCGCACAAGGGTGGGGGTGCAGCCGCAAATCGCAAACGTTTACTTTACCACCGTTAAAATTAAACTCCCAAGAAAACTGAAGAAAAAAAAAAATGTTACTCTCGTGCGAGATGTATCTTCGTTTCTCGTTCTAATTTTAATTATCCCATTTTATTGATTCTCAATTTTTTTATATTAACAAAATTCTTCAATATTGCAAAATATTTAAATGGATACTAATCTTGATTCGTGCAACGATAAACTAATCGGTGGCATTTTCTTGATAAATATTAACGCGATGCTATCTTCGATATCGTTCACTCGTTTATAGGTGATAATAATAATAACAACAGACGCTCGAGCGATAATGAATATCAGTCTGCAGTGTCAAAGATCAATTTTATGACAACACGTCGAATTAATGAGCTCGGACATACTCATAATTAATTAGGAACGGATGAGCGAAACGAACACGAGACAACTTGCAAATGCTTAATTTCCAGATAATTTGTGACGATGCGAACGATATTCGCGGCATCGCTACGATTAAGTTCTTTTTTTTTTTTTGTACAATCGATGAATGGGAGAGAAAACGGAGAAACAAGAATACGATACGTTGCCATTGCGCGCGCTGATTCATGATGCATACGATGCACCGTGCGCCGGCTACACGAGAGCGCGACTACATAAATAAATATGAGCATATTGGCTTGCACGAGGGCGTGCACGACGAGTGTGAAAAACGGAATCACACATTCAACGTGGATCAAGGAAAAAGTCATTATATTATCGTTAATGTTGCTTTATTTATCGTACGTAAAATTCACGCAAATTTTAATCGCGCACTTGTACAATGAAATTTAATTTAGGAATTTTTAACACGTTTAAGAATAAAGAGTCGCAAAAATGTATCACGCATTCTTTCTTTCGCTTTATCTTTAGAGATCTAATTTTAACACTTGAAACACGGAAACGCAATTTCATTTGAAACAAGATTGAAGTTTAATTAATCGACGGAAAAAACGGAATGCACTTCTCTTCTACGAATTTATTGATGCATAACGTAACGTCGTACCGGCGTTACAATAGAAGCGTGTTAAACAATCTCGAAAGCGTGAACGTGAGCACCACTTGAATCGATAGGCGATCGACGTCTCTTTGGCGTGTGCATGCAAGCATGAGGAGAGAGAAAGTGAAAGATAAAGAGAGATAGGGAGAGAACAACAGATTAATGTCAGAAGTGGAGTGCATGGAGAGACGTTGTCATTGGATATCGGATGTGGGAGTTAAAGGCCAGGTGAATCTCGGTGCGTCGGGGATGACGTTACAGAGAGATGACATTACCACTGTGTAGAACGTGGAAACCGGAGTCGATGCGTGTGTCGAGATGTGCGCGTTCTGGCCGTAGTTCGATGAAATGGCGATGTCGCTATCGATGGATGCTTATATCGGCTCCCATGCAACAGATATCGCGTCGCGTCAAATAGGTGCAATGTCGTCATTGATAATTTTGCGCGCGAAAATTTCAGCGGAGGAACCTTAAACCAGAGATTCTCGCGGTGGATCGATACGCGAACTTGATCGCGCGTCTTACAGGAACTGCTCGTTATGAGAGACTCCACTTCTACGAAGCCAATTGTCTTAATGTACGTAAAAGTTAAAGAGGCGACTTTAGGAAGGGACGAGTTGATTGTGCCGTCATTGTACGAGAAGTCGATTCGCTTAACAAAGTTAAACTTAGTTGCGAGAACTTCGGAGAATATTTTAATGCCATGCAATAATTTTTACGTACAAGAGTTTTTGGAGATGTTAGACAATAAGAAAAAAAATTCAATTGGTATATTACGAAATATTGCACAATGTATGTAATAATGAATTTTTAAGTGTTGACAGATAAAACTGAGCTATCACACGTCTTAATTAACAAGTATGTCTTTTTTGTAATGAATAGATAAGTAGCTAAAATGTATTTCTGTTAAAAAAAAATATCGCAATATACAAAAAGTTAAGTTGTTATTCAATTTATTAAATATCCACTATATGTATTATAAATCACACATAAAATTTAAAATCGTTTTTAAATCTGTTCTTAAAATTAATCTTTATTTTCTCTAAAATACTTTACGACAACATGTGTCTTATCAGCTTTTGATAATCAATCTCAGTTGTATATAAAACCACTTTTGAAGTAATAATAAAGTAAAAATATAGATGCAGTCATAATATCGAAATCTCTGATTAAATTTTTTTTAGATCTGATATATTCAGCACTTTCGTATTCTTATCAATCTTTAATTTCTTTATCGACCAATTTTATTAAAAGTTTTATCATCGATATTAGAATTAAAATTACATCATATTATACTCATTTTATGTGAACTTGATTTTCAAGACAACCTAATAAATAAATTCTTGGCATTGCAATTTTCTGTCGTCGTGGAAAAATCATAATCTTACCTTGCCAAATCTATTAGACATGGATGCAAATGTCGGCTTAATAACTGCCTTCGAGCTCCACGTAATTGGAGTCACTGTCATGGAGACACTGGTCAACGTTCGATTAACGATCTCTGCGTTTAGCGATTAACGATTCGCGATCTAGAAACGGCAAGCAACCCTTCCTTCCTGGTCTTTCGCAACGGTGTCGCATCGTTTTATTTCAATATGAAGCATCACATCGTGCTGCGTAGCACATCGGTCGCTGTCCGGTAGCGACCGAGATTTAAAACCGGTAGCACCACGTACGCGCGCCGTACCGGGCTGTATATTTTTAGAACGACCACCGCGATCGCGTGGGCGGATGCTGGTCATCTGTCCAGGAACCTGCGTTACTTTGTTTCAAACTGCACAAACCGGACAGGATCTCGATTCCGTCGAATCGGCATAATTATATACAATCTATATTTTCACTAAGTAAAAAATACTTCGTGAAGGAAAGCAAACATTTAAAAGCCTCGCGACATAAAATCGGCTTCGCTAAAGTCCATCGTGGAACGAGCTTATCCCGTGATAGTAACATGATAATAACGCGATAATAGATTATAACGTCGTGCGTATATAAATTATGTCGTGTTCGCAACTAGGCGAAATACACTATATCTTCATTTGTCAGCTTCTGCGGAATTCTAACAGAGACTCCTTATTCTGTGCATATGCATGTGTAATAACAAGCATGCCCGTCCACATCACTACGATGATTTAAAGCTTCTGATTTAATATCCAGAGATACTGATGAAAGCGTAAAACCACTTACGCGTCTGATTCTAATTCTAGTCGTTCTCTAAACTACCTATCTGCAGCACACGTATCGATTGACATCAATTAGACCACGTAAACAAAATTTATTGCGGATTATACATTTCGAGAATTGCTTTTGCGTTTGCGTTATGCTTAATTTTTTTCAAATTAAATCCACATGATATAATCAGAGGATGATTTACTTGATTCATACCTGTTCGATCACGAGACCGCTCTAAGGTCCGTTTCCACCAACGCAGATCAACTTTAATCTCGCAATTCAACTTACTCTTTGTCTTTTTCTAGTTCTAAAGATTAGAAAAAGACGAAGAGTAAGTTGAGCCGAGATTAAAGTTAATCTATATTGGTGGAAATGGGCATAAGAAAGAAGAAACGTCTAAAGTTTAAGGTCCCTCTCAATCAACAAAGCGTCTAATTATCGAGGCAATTATCGCAGCGGGAAAGAGTGTTATCGCTCGTCGCGCGACACGCGTTTACCGCAAACATGTTCGAACAAGTTTCATGTCTCCCGTAATATTACGGACACACTGTTGCCATCGTTTACGAGGTTAACGGCAAGAGCAGCGTTATTAAACGATCTCTGTAATGGGTGATTGTCAAGAACGAAGATGTTTAATCGCGGTTATGTACGAGAAATTCCGTTTTCTTTTTTTTTCTTTCAATCATGCTATCTTATATATATATATATATTTCTTTTTATCGCAACAAGTGAATTTACTCTGTAAATAAGGTATAAAAATTATCTATATTTCCCCTCTCTTTTCTCCTATGAACGCAATACATGGACGACAGTGTGAGAAAAATGCACGGCATGAGAATCATCCGGACGAAAGATGACTCAACTTATCAGGTTGATGTTACGAATTGCATTTCTTATCATTTTTATCGGGTCATTGGTAC